TTTCTTTATGACGGACGAACGTTTTGGAGGCACTGTGTAAACATGATTGAAACAGAGTGAGGTCGTATTTATTTTTCAACGTGCAAACATTTCAGACTCTGTGTGCAATGGCCTTAACACGATGGACTGCCCCATTGCCGGCATGCCGAAATACTTCAGGATGTCAGAGGCTCAGTTTGATGCTTTGCTAGCGATACTAGAGCCACATATTAAAAAGACCACCACCAATTTTGCATTTTTCTCACCAATTTTGTGCAAGGTGCTTTGTGCTGCAAGATGAAGGGGAATGAACTTGACAATCGCCATTCTGGATTTTGGCGTTCACTTGTACGGTGGCTCTGAATTAAAATCGAACCCGATCCAAACTTTTCTTTATGACGGACGAACGTTTTGGAGGCACTGTGTAAACATGATTGAAACAGAGTGAGGTCGTATTTATTTTTCAACGTGCAAACATTTCAGACTCTGTGTGCAATGGCCTTAACACGATGGACTGCCCCATTGCCGGCATGCCGAAAACATTCAAAGGATATATATATATATATATATAAAATTATTATTTTTTATTTATTTTTTGCTAAATTAAAATGCCTAATTACTGTACTTAAGCATATATTTTTTTATATGTATCTGTTTTATCATCCATCAATGTTTTAATCAATAAATGTTCTATTACAAATATATTTTGGATATTTAGCGGCCTATAAATCATAGTTTATTTGAAAAATAATTTAAATGCTTTCAATTAAAGACATTTACCGCCACCTGCTGGCAGTTTTGGTTTCTTATTTAGAGGATTGTTGTATTATTTCATTTAAAATGTATATAGCTCTATAATTAGTTAGTTAGTTAATTAGTTCAGTTAATAATTTAATAGTTCAACCAAAAAAATGTAAATTCTGTCATCATTTACTCAAACCTGAATGATTTACTTTCTTTTGTGGAACATAGAAGAAGGTATTTTGAAGACTGTTGGTAATAAAGCGACTTTCATTGTATGAACAAAAAATACTGAGATGATTCACAAATTATCTTCTTTTATGTTCCATAGTTTGTTAGGCCGTTGTAGCCTTAATGTTTGTGTGTAATAAATACATTTTATGTTGAATCAAACAAAATATTTCTTTCTAAAGGTACAATTTGTAATGTCTATGTGATACTTTCTCATTTAACACAAAAATAGCTTTAAATAATCTTTTGTGGGTATTTTCACAGTCAGATTAATTTTGTGATAAATTAGATTAATTCATTGACATAATGTAATTAATTAGATTAAAAATTTTAATCGACTAGCAGCCCTAATTTACAATAAAACCATGCCCCGTAAATAGCTCATAAGTATACATATGTAGATTTTTAGTGTTTTATTTCATATTAAAAACAATGTAATATAAATACTGTAATAACATCTGAATTTAATGTGGAAAAACTATCTAACTATCTGTGTGTATGATTCATTTATAAAGTCAAATTTTTAATTTTGCACAACTAATAATACCTCGTTACCTAGTTATTGTTGCATTTAAAAAAAAATTTTTTTTTGAATAATCTGTGGCCCTAACAGATTTCGTTTTATTGGCAAAGCTTCTATGGTTTCTGCATTTAAACATGACCGTTTTTAATCTTTCATTAGCAGTTATTTTCAGCACACAACTAGATTAAACATGTATTCAATGTTTTATTGTTTGAAGGGTTTACTTTTATTGCATGTCATTTTTCCAGCACTTCTGACATTGGTGTTTGAACAGGACTTTTATTTTGGGCTGGTGGTGTGACGTCATAAGACGGCGCCGTGCTCCTGCATCTGTGATTTGGCTGAAGAAAGGTTTGTTTTTCTCTTTCAAAGTTTTAAGTCAATGCTGCCCCTGCAGGCTATCTTAAACAATGTGAAATATATTAATTATTTAATGTAAGACTGTAATGCTACATCTAACATTAATGCACATTGTTTGTGAGAGTAGAGCGCATCAGCAACTGAGTAAAAGAAAAGCTGTTTCTCATTTCTCTCGTATATCACTTCATAGTAAGCGAGAATTCAGTCGCCGGAGAATAGTGATGGAGAATCTTGTGAAAGAAACATTGGAGCGTTTTGTGTAAATATAGATTACAGTCATTGTATGTTTATTTTTGAATGTCTCTGAGATGTCACCATTTCTGATCATCAAGATTACATTTAAAAGTAGCCCTGAATCAATTAACAGTTTTACTTAACTTTACTTATAAGATAAGTTTTTGTTTAGTTATTAGGAACCTAGTGACTCAAAACCCTGTTTCACGCACGTTCAAACAGCCCTTGGAAAAAAACAAAACCGGAATCACAAAATGATTTCACTGATTTAAGCTCTCAAATCACCACATTCTGACAACACCTCCGGCCTGTTTCATAAAACTGGTTTACCAAATAAGCCAAGCTTATTTCAGTTAGTCTGACTTATTGTCAAATGATTAGGTTCCATGAAGCAAATTTACCATAGCTCAAGCTAGGCCTGCACGATTAATCGAATGCGATTGTTATGCGCATTTTGTTAGTAAAGCCGGTTCTGTGATTAGTAGTAAATCATCATGACGTGCTTTCAGATGGAGCAGCATTTACTACACATAGCCGTAGTTCACTGACAAGTTACGCAAAAAATAAATCGCAGCTGATTTTATTGCGCGATTATGAAATCGTTGGCGATAATGACAGCTGTTTGCATAGCTTCTCGGTGAACTACGGCTCTGTGTAGTAAATGCTGCGCCATCTGAAAGCACGTGAAAATACCACATTTGATAACATTTTTACTCCAAACTCGCTTCATAACGTCAGTCGAGTGTTTGAAATAAATCCTTCTGTGAGATAATGTGGCTTCTTACACAGAATACGGCACGCAACATATTTCATAGTATTTAAGGAGTGATTAAAGGCATTGCATTATACAATATTTTAATGAAATTTATAATAAAAACTCATAAACCGTATATTGCCGTAGTCGTGTGTTTATTAGTCACGTTGAATCAATGAAAGCAGTTGAATCTTTTTCTGGGTGCGAGGCGTATTTGGAGTTTCAGCACGAGAGAGTGCCCTCTGGCCTTTGGATGGAGATTTACTGCTGATCACAGAACCGTGCTTCACTGAAAGATACGCATGACAATCGCAGCTTCTGTCGAATCGCGATCTCGATTCCATTTCGATTTATCGTGCAGCTCAAGCTCAGTCACTATGACACTTATGCTGGGAAACTAACCTGGGGTGCGTTTCCCAAAATCATTGTTAGTCAACTATGGTCACAAGTTCTGTCGTTTACAACATGGTTCAACGATTCAGTGTTTCCCGAAACTAAAATTCGCAAACAGTGTCGCAAACTTACGTGGTTGGAACTACAGCTCACGATCTGTGGTTGGAAGCAATGTTTCTTGTTAGTAAGACATATGGGTTA